TCTATTAAGGCTTTCACTTTGACAGTTTTGGGCATGGAGGGAGCTAATATAGTCACTGTCTTGAAAAAGGGTGTTATGGGTCCACCTACCAGGGGTTCGCCCTTCGAGCTGTCGTCTGAGGTGTCCACCAGCCCTGCAATGTAGGGCGGAGTTCTCTCCCCACGCTTGGCTGAGGTTGGGGACTCCACAGCCTCTATCGCCCTCATGGTGGGTTCTTTTGGGTTGGCTGGAGACTTCCCTGATTTCCTGGCTGGTGATCCGTCAGGGTTGCGCTGAGGGGCTTTCAATCAGCATTTTACAGTGCAAACCATTTGAAACAGCCCGTTGACTTCTTGGCCATAGCTGGTGGTTTCGGTGGCTCACGCGTCAGCTCAGGGTCCTCAGCAATGCCTCTTCAGTAGGTCGATCTCTGCTTCCTCCACCAGGATGTACCATTCATCGAGTTGGTGTGGGTCCCCTCAAGGCAGGCAAGCATCATACAGGTCATAGTTTAGGCCGTCTTTGAAATGGCTAAGGAGGATGTCTTCTGGCCAGTTCAGCTTGCTGGCAATGGTCCAGAATTCTTATGTATATTCAGCTACCGGGTGTCTGCCCTGCCTCACCATTTTGATACTTTCGTGGGCCTTGCGATCAGCCAGGGGGTCCTCGAATCACCTTCTCAGAGAGGACATGAAACGGTTGAAGTCATTGAGCTCTGGGGCATTGGAATCATGCAGGTTCACCATCCAGTCTGCGGCCAGTCCGTCCAGGGTAGATTGCATGATACGGATACGGGTTTTGTTGCTAGGGATGTTCCGTCCATATTCTTCCATGTAGCTGAGGACTTGGGTTAGGAAGAACCCCAAGCGTGGTGTCTCCCCCCTGAATTTCGCATCCAGCGGCAGGAATCTTTGAATGGCTTGGTGCCTTCATCGCCTGCGGTATTGTCTCCCATCCTGATCGCCATCTGTGCATCAGCAAGGAATGGGGGCTGCTGAAGTGGTAGCGGCTGGTTCAGCGGACATCCCTGGGATTACAGGTCTCAATTCCCCTTCAGTGCCTCTCCAGCTGCAGCTCCAGGTGCTGGTGCCGCCATGGAGCTCAGGTTTCTCCTCCCCTAGAGAGCGGAGGCTTCTTTTCATCAGGTCAATATTATTCTCTAGGATCCAGTTCGAGTGTTGTGCACAACTTCCTTCCTCTTTGCTAACGTGCAGGGATTTCTCCATCTTTTGCTTCCATTCAGGTTGGTGGCTGCCCCGTCTCAGGGTCATCTTTCTCGATCTCTTTTCCCACTTGTCTTTCTTTCCAATGCCCATTGACCACTGAGGTTTGTGGTCACGCATCTCCACCACTTCTCCTGAGGAGTATGATGTTTTGGATCCTGACAGCTGGCAGGATCCCGGTCGGGGGTAAGGCTCCCTTTCCCTGCCTCGTTGTCCGACATTGTAATTTTTGCAAAGTCTCCCGGTAAGGTTTTTCCTTCCAGATTGACTAATAGTGCAGATCCTGTCTAATATAAGGACCAACTTCAATCCCACGTCTTAAGAAAGCAGAACTCTTGGAAAAAAATTCTTCCAACAGGAACTTTTATTAAGAGTAGTTGATAGCAGGCATAATAGACAGGATCTGAAGGATTCCCTTACAGATTGATTACTTTAAAGTGTTCCTAAACAAACCCCACCCCACAGTTCTTCTGGGCGATTCAGACCGGCCAATCCCCAGGTGTTAGGTCCATCGTGGGAAAGGGGAGGTAACATGAATCTGGCTCCGTTTGCAGTGCGATGTTCCACAGCTCTTCACACCTCCTTTTGAGAATGGAGAGATAAGCCAGGTCCTGGAGGTTTGTACTTCTTTTCCCCCCCCTCCCTTTTCTTAGCTGCCCAGTTAGGGAGAAGAAGGTTCAGAGAGATGATAGTGCAGGAGGCAATTTGTTACATTATAATGGATAGCAGACATGGAGTCAGTAACCAGAAGGTTACATTGTAGCAAATAGAGGAAGTGAAAGCAATAAACCCACATGCATATCCCCTCTCCCCCTTGGAAGTATGGCAGAATCCAGGGAGAGGTGAGATTTGATTTTAGCTCAGAGGAGATAGATAGAAATGAAATATAACTGGATTCTGACACTTTCTATTTTAAATGGAAGTTATTTTTAAGTTTGTCTGAAAATTATAAATTATTAGGTCTTTACAATGTTTTAGAAAAAAAATCAGTTTGGACAGATGTTAATTTAAAAAATAGCATGTGGAAAGCTATTGTCTAAAGTTTATATTTAGCAATATGGAAAGATATTTGACTATTTGCCTGTTCTGTCCAATAGCAATTCTCTAGTGTCTCAAGAAGCTGTTTTTCCATGACTTGTTACCTAGATGACGTCACTCAAGCAGAGCAGTTAAAGGTCTTTCTGTGAAATCCAACTGAGACCAGAAATTATTATTTAAATACTTGCTTTTTTCTCTTTTGTTGGTATTAAAGATCAATGTTTCTGGCAATTCTTGTAGCAAAATTGTATGCTTCCCTCAGTAAAATGGCATTGTTGATCTGAAGGTCATCTCTGTTAACCTTTTCATCTGAGATATGTTCAACTCATATAGGTTAACTTGTAAGGAAAAGATGTCCAATTTTATTCAGTGCAACAAGTATGCCAAATCAGGATTTCACTACTGAGCTACATTTTGGAATGTAACATTTTTATTTGGATTACCACTTTTGACTAACTATCAATTATGGATACCTAATTGCAGGGGAACAAGGAAATTGGCTCCTACAAAATTGAAGCATTATGTATAAGTCAGAGACATTGTCCCTCCACAGGATTCTCGCTCAGCCCTTTTTGGAGGTTAGGAACTGGAAGTAGGATGTTTTGTATGACACAAATATATTATAGTACAAAGATTTTGGTATCTTTAGAGGAAGAATTATTATTGTTGTTATCATTCTTATCCCCATTGTCATACAAGCCACCATTCAATAACCCTTTAGGTAAAGATAAAGGTTGGTGGTCATCTCTGTTTTTTAGCCAAGGGAGTCAGCATTGTCCAAAGATATTTCAGTGGTCATGTGGCCATGTAGGACTATATGCCGAGGAGCAGAAAAAGCTTAATTCTATATATTATCAGCTTTACCAGTCAAAAGTTATTAATGTATAGCTTTGCTTTTCTTGTCTATAAAAGAACCCTGCCATTTGGCAATATGATTAATCTCCATTAATCTTTTAATTTGTAATATCCTTTACATGAATAAAACACTGAATTAAACTTAAAATCTCCAGTTTCGTTGGATCTGCAGCAATTGCTGCATGTGGGTATGTATGTATATGTAGATATGTTTGTATGTGTTTGTTTTTGTATAAAATATTATTTTTATTAAGTTGATTATTTACGAAAAATTCAGAATAGCACAAGTGAAAAATTTATTTAAACATGTAGCTGTATCCTTTTATTATAAGAAGATGCCATGTTAGTTTAGGGTGGAAAAAATATCAGAATGTTTCTAGTAACACCTTTTCTGATTAATAAAATTTATTAAAAGTTATAACCTTTTGTGATCTGCAGTTGATTTTATCAGCTACACAGAATGGCTAGACTGGTATAGGATTTAAATTGATGAGGCAGAAGGAAAGAAAAGGGCAAGCAACATTTTTTGGTTATGTAGATGTGGATTACATGAGAGACAGATTGTGCAAAGTTATCCCATTTGTTCCATGCAGAATCCAGAGCGGCATTACTCACAGATGATGACATTAAGAAAGAAACATGTGAAGGCAGCTGTAATCTTGTCTGTGTACTTGCTAGACTCTGTGATAGTATTGTTGGGGTAGACATCTGGATTTGTTGCAGGTCTATTTCCATTTTGCAGAGTTTTCTATGCTGTCAAAGTTCTATTCACTAGGAAAAGGAAAAAAAAGTTTCCCAATATTTTTAAGAACTTAAGTTTTGACCCAATTTGTAAACAACATTTTAATTAAGTGCCTAAATTACAAGCCCTTTGATCAATGAATGGATTCCACTTTTCTAAACTAAGACCCTTACCACTGTTTTGTTAATAGCACTAATGGTTTAAGATGAAATGAAAATATACCTTATTTCTTTTTCTTTTTAATAAATATTTTAATAATATAAGCATGCAGAGAAATAGGTAGATTACCAACCCTGAAGTCATAACACATTTTGCAATCCTTTCCTTTTTTTACAGTCTTTTGTTTTATTTTTTAGTAAACATAATAGTAATATTAAAATATTAAAAATAGATATTATCTATTCTAAAGCATTGAGAAAAGAAAATGACTGATTACAGAATCTTCATTCAATTCACTGAGATATGGATCTGTCAATCAAACTGTGAAGTTTAGAGAAATATTGTTTTGTATGATAGCTGTTCAAAACCAAATACAGTAAAACTTCCATAGCTGACTACCTCCCTACGTTGACCACCTCCCTAAGTTAACCTAATTTTTGTAGACTGGACATACACTATATGTATACAATAGAAAGATAACCTCTCTCTTTATTGACCACCTCTGTAAGTTGTATCTTGACATGACATTAATTTACTCTCTATAACTTGACCAGTTGAGTCCAGTCTGCATCAAGAGCAAGAAAAGTGAAATGCAGAATTGGTAGTAATGAATTTCTTTCAAGAAAAATATATGAAAGAGTACAATATTTTTTATTTTGATTCTGCAGTTTAACAATGGTAATTGTGGATTCATTCCATAATACAAATTGCACAAAGATTTAAATTTTTTCCACTGATATTTTTTCCTTTTTCAGGATCGATAAAAAAATAACCAATGGTAAAATGAAACAAATACACACACAACACTGGTTTTACCCTGTAGCAGCCATCAAAGCAAAGTGCCAACAACAGTGTTCAATTTACAATGGTTCTAACCATTGTAAAAGAAAGAAAACACAGTTTTAAAGTGTAACAAACAATGTTCAGGTACAATTACGAAGCAGTCATATGAGAAAGAACCAGGTTTTACTTTTTTGTCTTTTCTCTATGCAAGTTGAATCATGATGGTGAAAAAGAAGAAACTGAAAGAGCTGACATTGAAGGAGAAGGTTGATCTTTTACATTTTCTAGAAAACAGTAGAAAGACAGCAGAACATTTTGGTGTCAACAAGATGACAGGAAACAATAACCAAAAATATAAGAATGAGTACCTGGAGAGATATGATAAAGAAAGTGAAGATTTACAATGGAAAAGGAGAAAAAAAAACACTGGATGAAGTCAATGAAGCCATGTAACATTGGTTCAAACAAATGAGAGCCATTAATGCCTGAAATTATGGGCCAATGACCCAAAAAATTCCTAAAAAGTTTGCAAAAGAGCTCGGGGTATCAGATTTCCAAACATCAAGTGGTTGGCTCAAAAAATTTAAACTGTGACACAAGATCACCCAGAAAGTATTGTGTGGTGAATCTGATGTAGTTCCAGTAGAAGTTGTTGAAGAGTTCATTGAAAAGTTTCTGGACTTTGCCAGTGGCTTCAAAGATGATGACATCTTTAACACTGATGAATGTGGACTCTTTTTCAAGGTGATGCCTGACAGGAACCTCATTATGATGGGTGACAAATGTAAGAGTGGAAAACTTTCCCAAAGCACATTTCACAGTTCTGTTGTGTGCTAGCTTAATCGGAGAGAAACTAAAACCTTTGGAGGTTGGTAAATTGGCAAAGCCATGCTCATTCAAGAACCTGCAGCCCAAAGACCTTCCCGTCACCTGGAAATCTAACAAATCTGCATGGATGACTGGTGTCCTACTTGAGGAGTGAATTAGAGGTATTGACCAAAAAATGAAGAAGAATAAACCAGAAACAATATACAAGTACTTTAAGAAAGCTGGATTTGTTACAACCCAAGAGCAAGATATTGTAGCCCAGCTACACAGCCCACCTCCCATGGTAGAATTCAAGGGAAGGTTTTGTTACAATGGATGATGATGTGGCAATCTGCAATGAACTGACCCAAAAGCAATTTTCCAATCAATATTGATCGAGGTACAACCCAGAGGAAACGTGCTGGAAGCAATTGATGAAATAGAAGAATTAAGTGAGGAAAACATAGAAATTCTGAAAAGAAGAGCATTTGATATTGCAGTTAAAGTAATTTTCCATGTAAAATGCTCAGGAATGCTGAGTGGTATAGCTTTCTCCGCTTAGCTTCATAAAAAAGAATAAGAAACAGAATAAAATTGACTCTTTTTTTCAGAAAGAATGATCAAACCATGAGAAAACAATACACACATAAATGTATTGGTTTTGTATGATACAGTATTGTATGATTTTCCCGTGTTTTCACTATGTGTGTTTCTGTATGACATTCTCTAATAAAAGTTGTACAATAAAATGAGGCACGTGTACATATCAGTAAAGTTGTTCCATATGTTGATCATCTCTGCATGTTGACCACTTTCCTTCAGTCCCTTGGGTGGTCAACTTTCAGAGGTTTTACTGTAATTTAGAAACTCTTCTGATTATATTTGATGAAGACAGCTTTATGTAGTATCAACTTTTCTTTATACAGCCAAGGTTTGAAGTTAGAGCTCCTTTGAATTATATGTAGCATACTTTAATTGAATAGTATTTACAATGATACATAATTATTATGCATTTCAAAATTTTTCAGATTATTATTTTTTTTTAAAATAAATTTTTATTGATTTTTCATTGAAAAACAAAAACATAAATCTTTTATCACAATATCAACCAAAAAAAGAATCAACACTAATCAATACATTCACGGACGTGCCCGATGTCTCCCTCCTGCACCGCCCTCTCACTTGCCTACACCTTCCTCCTCCCATCCTACCACCGCTCCTCCTTCCTCCCTCTTTCCTACCTCCCTTTCTCCCTCAACCATCCCGTCAGTGCAGTTGGGGTATCACCAGGCACCTCCTTAAAAAATCAAACATATATATACATATAAATCTATAATACCAACCTACCCCTTTCCCCCCTCCCCCCCAGGACTTCCCAAAGCTAATCTAGGAAATAAATGCATAATCATCCAATTCTAATCAAAACTACTCATTATTACTACACACTAGTACAAAATTGCTGTGACTCGAAAATAACATTAAATTACAACAAAAAAAAGAGAAATTTTTTTTTAGTTATATTATATAATATACCTATTTTTATTCTAAGTTTTTAATCAAAAGCTACATAATAATTTTTCAATTCATACTTTGTCTGAATATAATCTATCCATCTTCTCCATATTGCAATAAATTTTTCCTGAGAATGATCCTTCAGGTACGGGGATATTTTTGCCATCTCTGCAAAGTATGATACTTTCTGTCTCCAATCATCCATAGTTGGTAATATCTTTTTTTTCCAATTTTGAGCAACTAATGTCCTTGCTGCTGTTATACAATACAACATCAGTGACATTTCTTTTTGATCCAAATTATCCATGATACCCAATAGAAATAACTGCGGTATAAATTTTATCTTTTTCTTAAAAATCTGTTGAATATTCCACCAAATCTTAATCCAAAAAGCTTTAACATCCCTACATGTCCACCAGATGTGATAGTAAGTAGCATCCATACTAC